CCCGCGCGACCGAGTGACTAAGAGCGCTGATCGGCTGTTGGTCAGTTCTGGTGTTAGACAACTGGTCCCATTTCGGTTAGGCCTGTAAACTCCTGCGGAAATTCGGAATAAGTGCGCGTGAAACACCGCCTGGTCACAGAATTTCATAAGTTTTTTAAGAGTTGGTCTGTACAAGCTCAGCTAAAAGCAATCCGCTGCCCCCACCAAGCGGAATTGCGCCAAATAATTTTCACAATTAGCAAGGACTCCTGGATGGCAATTTCTGCCTTATCTCGGTAGCTATGTAGCGCAGCGCGTATAGTCGTTTCTTCAGCCCTCATCCATCTTTTAGACCCTTCTTCGTTAACGCCTCGTCGTTATTCCGCTAAGCAACACTCTTCACATCTTGTTCTGCCCAAAACGCGCCATGCGGCCATAAGTTTCCCAGCTCGTTGAAGTCGCTCCTGCGAAATGAGTGAGAAAAACAATTCTCAGTCACAGCCCACCCTTTAAATCTTTCCTTGAGAGGGAGGACCAGAAAGGGGTCAAAAACGAGATGCTTAGCCAGGGGAATTTGTGATCGCTGCTTCTTAAAGATTTCTGTGGTATATGTGTCCACCCACTTCAGAGCACTTTTCGGTCTTCTATGTGGGCGTTTACATGTTGAAAAGGCTCCGTTAAATTGTTTATGTTGAATCGCAAGCCCTTCAAGGACTCAGTTGTTCTTAGGAATTTGGCGAACATGCGGGTGGCTTAAATGAAAGACAAGGGCACTCACTAATTGCTGTCCCTGTGGGATCGGGTTAATGGGATTGTTGTTTAAAAAGCCTTCAATGCCTCGCTATGTCCAGTAATCGTTACGATGTTTCCCCCAGAAGTCTCAAATTGTTCTGTTGCAGAACACCCACAGCCACTTCCGGCGTCAATCATCTCCACACTCATTGCCCAAATCCAGCATCATCCCTGTATTTGGGATCACGATCACGAATACTTCGGACATCGTGAACAAATCGATTCAGCGTGGCAATCGATCGCCCAACAAACCGACGTGCAAGGTAAGCAGTCATCAATATCATTTAAAATACGCTTTATCCAGCGCAAATAGCTCTCCTGTCTGACCGTAGTACTGCCCAATTTTGCAGCGGGAGGGTGCCATTCATGACAACTTTGCCTCCCTTTTATACTTATCCAGCACCGGTCAATACATCGACTCTTGCTCCTATCGTACCTCAACGGCATCGATCGATATATCGATCCATTCAGTTTTCGCCTTGTTTTGTGACCCCCTTGCTACTAATCCTTTTGACTATGGTTTTTCGAGTTTTCTTCATTTGGATGAGCTACCTGGTCGGATTCTTCCAGGTGTTCCAGATTACAACAGTGAGATGGGGTAAATCGATTGCGACCGATCGCCTTCTCGCTTTTGCCTTTCATTGTTCGATACAGAGAAACTATTTGGAAAGAAGGGAAATCAAAGAAAATCGATAAATCGATCGCTGGCTAGCACAAAAACTTCTCGTTCTCATATGAGCCATCGATTAATCGATTTTAGTGAGCAGGGTTCTGCTTGACGTTATACCGACAAAAATAACTCGGCTGATTGTTCCTCATCGTGGTCATAGTAACACTAATTGTTCCGCGAAATTAGCTTCCACTATACGTCACTATATTATTTTATTGGGTTATCTATAGCTCCTGAAGGGCTCTTTATTTACGGGTTGTTGTTGACGGGTCTTGTTGGAGCGCGAAGAAGGCAAAACCTGGTTTCCTCGCTCGATACCTCAGCAATAGGTTCACGTTCAGTCGGAAAGAAAAGGTCCTTTGAGCCTCATCATTTTTTTTGTTATCGTTCAAGCTTTTCTCTCTACTTAGCGTTTTGTGACCCCTTAAAGCCCCTACGCTTCCAATTTTTTCTCGGTAGGCCACAATGGAGCAACCTCCCCTCAACATGGGCCTTTCCTGGTTCTACCAGAGGTACTTCGCACCTTTTGATGATCTAGTCTGGTGCCTTTTATCTGCCTGCGTCCCTTCCTTTTGCAGCACGCTCCTGCAAAAATTTCTAGTGGTCACGTAGCTTCAGCTATCTCCATTTTTCGCTTGATTTTGTCACGTGGTCATCTTTGCTAAGGGTCTTATCGGCCCTCGTAGCATGTTTTTGACATCGTGAACTCTGATCAGCACCCGAATAAGCTCCGTGTTCTGCAACATTCCTCTGATCATTGGTGTTTATTGAAATAGCTGCACTATTAGTTCAAGTGCCGAGTTTACCCACGACTTCGCAGACGTGGTAGTCACGTCATTTCTAGTTCTGGTAAACCGCGCCATTAAAGAAGCACTTACTGGCTACTGTTCGTCTGAGACGATAAATACCGACTACTTTTGAAAATCACCTGCTGCTGCACATATGGTGAAGGATTTTGCATGCGTCAGGGATTGAAGGATTTTGCATGCGTTAATGGTTACTGTAGGAGTCTCAGCTGCAATTATTCTACTTCCCGCAGCTATTTATGGCATCGGCCGCAGTCTTCAAATGCATAAATAGCTTCCCAGTATTTAGCTACGTCATATTTCATGCGTGAAATGGGCGTGGCTACTCTAAACACAGCGCGGATTACTCTACCCCACAAAATACGAAGTGCTGTGACTTCACTTTCCCAGCAGTGACTGAGCTGTATGGTCATGCCAGAGTGTCAGCCTTGGCCAGGCACTGTTCTGCTCTATCTGGCTTGTTTTAAACCAGCGGTTGACTTTCATGTTGAAGTTTTTGGAACAAACCGAAGTTTCTGTCCGAGATCAAATTCTTGTGGGGCTTAGGATCCACCACATTCTTCATTGTAGCCCACTTCTGTAAAACAATCAGTAAGCAGTCTTGTCGGCAAGGATTTTGCTTGATCGTTGGTTTCTCCTAATTTCACGTTTCTTACGTTCCCCAGACACGTTGCATCTCCTTCGCCCATTGGCTCATGACCAAAAGGGTCGTATTGATGAGCCTTTCTCACAGTTTATACGCTACCGCGATTTTCGCCAGGCGCGATAACCTCGATCCTAACGAAAAACCCACATGCTATAAAAGAAGAAGCCCTAGAGATGCAGCTGTTCAGTTGGGACTCAAATATTCCAGATGTTGGAAACCACGAAATGCCCATGCAAAGGCTCACATTGCTTTAATTTGAAGAGAAGAGCGTGGCGCACTCCGCACTGAAGCGCCGAGCTCCCTCCTCCCAGGTGTAGGACGTTACATTCACGCAAGGGTACAATTCGATGTTGTTGGCATTCACACAGTTTAGCCACGCCCGCGTGCGAGTGATGGGGTCCCGCACTCGTGCCCAGTATTCGCCTCGGGACCTAAATTATTTACCACGGAGATGCTGTAGTACGTTCAGTTAAGGTGGACTTGTGCTATGCACACGGTCGTTCGGTAACTGCCTGTTCACTTGCATTGCCTTACTTACACGTCTTGTGCTCCTAATTTGCTACTCAGCTACTAGTGTATTGGCGGTCTTGCTGTTCTTTGCAGTCTATTCACGGGCTGATTGGGCACCAGCTGCTCCTCACTTCGTGATTGTCTTTTCTTGAGAACGCACCAATGCGCCTTGTTTCTTGTGGACATGATTTTCTTGAAATATACCGCAGTTTCCCGAGTTTAATCAGTCACGTCCCTAGAAAGAGCTCGAGCTACCTGACCATGTAGTTAGCGATTCCACTAAAGCAATGCAGTTACGTTTCCAGCTGCTGCTTCTATTGTCCAAAGTGCATTTATAATGCGATTATTGTGTAGTAAGCTTTTTTGCACCTCTTGAAACACCTGCTTTACCTGTGTTGTTGGACTGCTATTCCAGTGAGCACAGACCGTGTTATATTCGTCAGAATTCCGAATTGAAATCCCGTCAGTTGCGAAGCAGTAATTTGTAGTTTCCCGAGAAAGACTGGGATTCCGAGTTCAGGCTTTCTGTCATTTCCATTCGTCACCGGAGTATCCTACCGAGTGCTGCCCCACTCGGAGGCAGACCATTTCTGCTCTAACTCCGAGTTGGATAGAATTGTTCCTTAAGGCATCAGACTAACAAGTAATGATGTGGGATTTTTGATGTGAAGACGTTAGGAATGAAAGGAAATGGGGAGTTAGAGCTGCTTTCGTCTGACAGTCGCCTCGCAAATCACATTTTCGATTTCGTTTCTGTTGCAAGTGCTCTTCGGGCTTCTTATGTGTTCCTATACCGGGTATGAAGTGAGCGGGACGCGCGACTGGGTTCCTGGATGGGTACCAGCTGCTATTCTCACCTTTTGAGTAGTGTCGTGTAGCATCAAAGTGTACCCCAAGGTTCACCCTGAGCTCTATTCGTCAGCTCTGCGCTACTCCATAAGACTCAGCTCTCCTGCACCTAGTTCTGTGGAGCTGCGAACCACCGGGACAGTTCCACATACCCCCACGCTAGACTGAGTTCCATGAGCTCCAATGAAATCCCCCCGACCCACTTCCAATAAACTTGACCCCCTAGTCCCAACTCCATTAGTCCCTACCGCCAGTTTCAACTCCACAAAAATCCGGACTCCCCAGGTCGTGTTTTAACCCTCAACCGCTGGATCCGATCCCATGGGACGGTGAAACCTCGTTCGAGCCCCGATCCGCTTTACGCTGATGCTAGCGTGCTCTTCCGATTTCCGCAGCGGCGCATCCATTATTAGCAACTTCCGACGTCTTCTTGCTTATGCTTTTTGTGACCTCTTCCATCTCACTGTGCAGTAGTGCCGCCTCTTGCCACCCTTATGTGAACTGCTCTTCTGTCGTGTAATGAACTAGGTGCACCCTTTCAGCGCTCGGACAATCATTTTGAAAGAAGTGGTGCAGAAGGGTTCAAAGAACTGGTTGATAATAGGTGACACGCCGATTGGCCGAATGACGACCCCACTTTGAAAACACTTCAGTGCCATCTCAATTCCATTATCGACTGGCTGGCTGTTGACTTCTACTTGTACCTTTTGTTTTTCGCCTCAGCTACGCAAAAAGTATTTAATATTCAATGAACAGCGTGATAATCACGTTTTCTTCCCGATTACAAGAAGCAGGTGCGTCGTTTCTCCAGCCATTCCAACATTTCCACCCCGCTGAGCTTCACTGGTCTTTGATCGTGTCGTGTTACTTGCGGTTTTTTTTTTCTTTCTTCTGGTCTAACACGGCCATTGTAAGGACCACGAAACCGCTGAGCGCTCTAGGCGACCGTTTTCTGGGTTTTGAGCTGTTTCCAGTCTGCTTACTCAGTGCTGAGAAACCCTGCAGAAATTCCAATGTTTACCATTCCAAGCAGTCCTTATCATACTGCCGTTGTTATGCAGAGCACTCCGTAGCCTTGGCGGATGTTCCTTGGGACATCTTTGTTTCGGCGACATGCACAATCCAAAAGTCGTTCCTCACTAACTAACTCGGTGTAGTAACTTGTTCGTCGAACCACTTGGGTCTTATGCGAATGATGCGTCGCGACTTGACACCGTTTTTGCCGCAATCTGGATGTCCTGACTCACATCTGAGCGCGGCTGAACCCTGGATGGCGTTGCAGTCTTGTTCGCTGCGCATGGTGGGGCATTTCATGAGCAGGATGGCTTTGGCGCGGCGCCAATCCGCTTCTTCCTCCTTCCCTTCTTTGCATTTCTTGCAAAGACCGCTGGGCTGGTCACGTTATCCGCCGTAACGATGAAAGATTGTATTTCTGCGCAACAGAACGGCAAGCTACAATACTGTATCATGTCTACTGTACCAGTCTTTTTCCACCATCTGTTGTCACTTACCCGCTTCAGCTGACGGTGAACGAGCTGGCTGCATGCCAGACCTAACCTCATTGACACACCCCCTCGTCCGCGCAGCAAAAAGACTGTGGATCGCGCGGCTGCTGCTGCGCACAATTCACTGGTTCTATGCTTCTGTAAAGCTTCAACAAGACTCTTCATTTGCGAGTGGACTGAACTCGCCGCGATTCCAAGCCTTGGGGAGTAACGTGTTCCTCACCAATCCATTAGGGGAGGGAGGAGGGCACCAAGGCGTATGTTACCGTTCGCCCCGTTTCATTATTTTTGTTTTCGCTGTAACTAATCAGTACCACTAAACCACCTTGCACACCCGGCTTTCTGCAATTCTTGACGAGTAGCTCGCCCCCCCCCCCCCTCCTTGTCGTCACATGCTCACGAGCTCTTTATCGTGTTATCCCTAATTTTTACTTTCATGCGCCCATCTGATCTGTGGCGCCTTGCGCTGGTGTTTGCGAATGCATAGCATGTTTTCTTGGGCATGTTCGCTCATCAGTGTATCCTTCCGTTTTGCAGAGGACCACGTACGAAGTCTCTGGAACACCGTCTGGAACTCCTGTTCACAATCTGGTGGTGGCAATCCGATCTTCAACCAATTAAACAAGATGTCATCGTTAGCAACCAACACTCCAAGAAGTCCATCGACTGCTAAACAGTAAGTGCGCTCTATTGCGATTTAGCTGCTCAATTTATGCTTTTGACGTTCACGGGTGGTGTGTGGGGCACGTCCTGCTGTAGGGAGGAGTTTGTAAAGTCCCACTCCCTCCTGTGACCGAACACCCCTGGCCGGAGATCCCCAACGTCCCCAAGTACGACGTGTCCTGTAGGGCAGGGGTTGGTAAGCAAAAGTGGTGGGATCTACTGTAAATCTGATCATCTGCCCCTCTCACCGAGATAGTGACCTCTTCTGTTTGCGAGGTCCCATAGAGCGCCAGACGTAGCTCCAACCTGGTTTCAGCCGCGCGCTCCCCACTCCCAGCTACCCCTGTAGCAGCAGTCAGTTAGCATCTCGCTGACTATGGTCGTGTCCTGAGCACTACCATCGTCGTTCTGATCACTTTTTAGCTCATCTAATTTCCATCATTCAGAAGCCCTCCAAAGAAGCGAGCAGTCTGCAAGAAGGTATCCTGGTCACGCTACGATTCGGTGAATATCTCTGGCCATCTGCTGATGCTCCCACGACGATTCGCTAATTTGGAAATCATCGAAGCTGGTCCCAGTCGGACCGTATGGTGCGTTCAACCCTCAGCGATATACTTGTTCCACCTAAAATTCCTTTTTTTCAGTTCTGGCGCCGACTTACTGACGGAAGAAAATGTGATTATCCGAAAGACTTTGCTCAAAGATCAGGAACAAACTGCCCAAGTCTATCATAATCTGAAATGGGGACGACTTTTGCCGCATCCAAATGTGAGTTCTTTGCGTGGTTTTTAAGGAGTAGTAGTCGTGCGGTCATACTGAAACATCGACTGCTGCCCGAATGGCCTACTAATCATGTCATTTTTCAGATCCTTTCGGTTTTGGACGCGTTCGAAGCTGGTGACAGTCTCTATACGGTCACGGACATGATGGACGGACGTCTAGCCGACATCGTCGATGAGAATTTGAACCACTTTGTGATTGCCAAAATCGTCTATCAACTGCTGTCCGCGCTCGAGCCACTGCATTCGAATGGACTTTACCATGGGGTAAGAAACTTAGCCTTCAAATACAATATCTAAAGTCAGATGCGAATCTCATGTCACAGACGCGCGCGGTCGCGTGGCGGTCTAGCCGCTGATCACGATCGATAGCGGTCAGTACCGTGCGCCTACGTTGCCCTTTCTGACCGCCACGCGAGAGCGCGCGTCGGTGGTGGGTGAAACATAACGACACAGCGCAGAAGCATGCAGTGGATTCTCTTACGCCTTGCATTATCATCATTCTTTCAGAATATCACCCTGAATTCCGTCTTCATCAATACAGATGCAGTACTGAAACTGTCGTCTTACGGAGACGTCACACAAAGTGTTAGCGAAGAAAAAACAAAAGGTAAACGCTCTGGACCATGAAGATACTCTTTCCTGCCAAATAGGGATCTTTCAAGAAAAAATCCTAAATCATTTTTTCACTGAATGAATACTTACTGAAAAACGATTATGTTTTCAGAAGATATCATGTCCGTGGGCTCGATTCTGGCTCGTCTGCTGCTTGAAGAGGAGTCGTTTTTGAAGCTGTCAAAAATAAAAAGTCATAACGATCTGGATTGGCGGACGATTCTTCAAGGCAATACCGAATCGGGCCTTATCGGTAAGATTCACTGGGATTTCTGGTGAAGTTCAGCGGAGGAATTACTGTTTTTTACAGACTTCCATGCTCGCAACATGCTCTACCTACTGCTAGGGGCTCGGTGCTCCTTGTCCGATCTGCTCAGACATCCATATTTGTTCACGTTCCGGAAGAATGCTGGCAATGTGCCACAAATTGATGCTGAACACCGTGATCTTTCGTCACTTAGCCTCAGCGATGTTCAAGGTTTGTTCGCCTCATCAGATCTTATAGTTACATTTGTTCCTAGCTCGGCTTCCCAAGAAGCGCAGGTCAGGAGATCTGAGCTTCAGGGCATGCAATAGATAGCCTAGCATGGGCGGTATCCTGTCTAGTTGACTCGTCATCTTATAACGCTTTTTGCTTCTGGCCATGTCCCTATGTGTGTTGCACTCTCGACACAGCAGGAACTCCCCACCGCGCCCCAAGTGTAGGTTCTATCCAAATGGGTTGCAAAGAGAATATTTGAGCATTCCTGACAAAAAAAAGCTCTGCCTCCCGGTATTTACACTAGTTTCTCACCTGCGAATAATGACACATTCCTCGATAGTCGAATGGGCGGGTAAGGTAAGCGGAGACGCATGGATAGTATGCCTTCCTCATGAGGACCGCACAACGACCATAAGTATCCGTCCATCCCGTTATCGCGGAATATGTCTTCAATTAAAGATTACAATGCAAATTAAACGTCTTGCAATTTTTTATTTTTTTAGGGCTTCTCCGAGATGAGCTCAATCGATACCAATCACCGATCTCGATTCAAGATGTACAATAAAGCAAGATATTACGGAAAATTACTAAATTACACAAATGTACGGGTACTCGATAGGTCATTATTCCAGTATTGATTGTTACTATGACCTTGTCAATTTCATTGTGATTTTTCTAAATAAATTTGTTATCATTTCGAGGGTACAGACATTGATGTCAACGTTCGTCTTGAGTTCGGCGTACATGTATAGTGTAGTTCATTGCGGACGGTTGGGCGTGTTCGTGCGGCTGCGTTTGGCGCGGTGCCAAACTCGTTCTCCACGAGTTGTTCAAGCGAGCAAATGACAATACTATCATACCTTTCGTATTACTTGTTTTCTACTGCTTTTTGTCGCATGCCCGTTTCAACAAGAAGGCAGAGAACAGCTCAAAGAGGGTGACACACTCATACTGGCTGACACGCCCAACCGTCCGCAGCGAAGTAGAGTACATATTGATCTAACTTTCAACCTTGCCGTAAGGAAAACAATGAAAATCTCGGTGTTGATCATTCTTCTTGGGATACGCCATGCATCCGATAGAGCTCTGTAGGCCTGTGCAGGGAGCCAGTGTTGCAGCTAATTTTTTTCTGTTGCAGCCAAAAAATGAGCTCGAAGGCCGTGTGTGAAAAATTTGCTGTGTTTACAACAAGTGTAAATTGTATGCGGCAAAAAGGGGGTGGCCATCAGGGGCGGGGCACCTGTGCGGTCCACTGTGTGCTGGGCTTTCGCACAAAATTGGGAAAAGTCGTTCCGCGAAAGATGGTAATCATTATTCTGTTCAGTATCTATGCATTCGCATTCATATTCAAGAACGCAATCTGCGATAATCCAATAGGCGGAGACTCCTGGCCATCAGAATAATAGAACGTCTAATAATGGAATACTCGAGCTACTGTGGTAAATCGTAGGAAGCGAGAACCTGACGAGATGCATAACTTCTCACTGGAAAGTAAAAATGAAAGTGGAAGAGAGTCATGGGTTTGAATGGCGAGAACGCTGGTGTCAGACAGATGCGCACGGAATTCCGCAGAAACCCTCGTCTACCTATTAATGCTCCTGTGATCTGCGAAATGACACCCTCTTACAGTCTTGTTCGGCGGATGATGGGGGGCCGGTATTGGCGAGCCGCCCTTCTGTTCTCCACCAGTTGTTGAAGCGGTTAGGCTAGAACGGTTGATGGAAAACGATTGATACGAGCGAGAAGGTGCAGTCCTGTCGGCTGCCGAAAGGAAAAAGGAGAGAGACAGGCTGGCGTTGCGTGGCACTCACCTCGTCCCTATGTTCGCAACGCGTAGATGCTAACCGGTTGGCTGTTGAAGAAAAGAGTGGACAGAGCCGCCGAAGACGTCCCAGCTATGGCTCTGGGATCGAAATTGGTCCTGATGAAGAGAGACAATGTCAAGTAGGACCGTTGACGTTTCTCGTCTCCATATGAACGCCACTTCTGAGGCTGGTGTCCTTTCGGCGACGACAACGGCAACACCCTCGTCACTCAAAA